CAAATTTCAATTATATAATAACAGTGTTATTAACTATATTCATCATGTTATACACTGGGTTCTCAGAACTTACGAGGCGCCTGGGGGGCTGAGTCAGTTAAATGTCCGACTTTGGCTCAGGTCATGATCTCATGGTTCGTGACTTCAAGCCCCGCATCAGGCTCTGTGCTGACAGTGCAGAAGCTGCTTGGGATTCTCTCTCCCTCTCTTTGCCCCTCCCTGACTTGTGCTTTCTCTATCAAAATAAATAAATAAAATTGTTTGACTTTTTTCTTTTTTTTAGACCTCACATATAAGTAATGCCACACAGTATTTTGTCTTGTTCTGACTGGCTTATTTCACTTAGTATAATGCCCTCCAGTTCATGCATACTGTTGCAAATGACAGAATTTCCTTTTCTATGGCTGAAGGATATTAGCGTGCGTGTGTGTGTGTTTATCCGTTCATATGGATACAAACACTTAGGTTGTTTGCATACCTTGGCTATCGTGAATAATGCTGCAAAAATTCATTTCTTTGAAGTGTACAATTTAGGGGTTTTTAGTATAGTCACAAAGATGTGCAACTATCACCACTATATAATTCAAGAATATTTTTATTTCCCCCCAAATAAATTCCATACCTATTAGTCATCACTTTCTACTCCTCCCGGTCCCATCTGTACAACTACTAAATCTACTTTCTGTCTCTAAATGTGCCCGTTTGTTCTGGACATTTCATATAAACAGAATCCTACAATGAATGGCCTTTTGTTTCTGTCTTCTTTCACTTTAGCCTAAGGTTTTCAAGATCTTCTGTTGTAACATGTATCAGTACTTCATTCCTTTTTATGGCTGAATAATATTCCATTATAAATATGCCACATTATAGCATATTGGACATTGGCTTGTTTCTTCTTCGGGCTGTTATGAATAATGCTGCTATGAACATTTGTGTACAAGTTTTTGTGTTGACATATGTTTTCAGTTCTATTTGGTGCATACCTGGGAGTCACATTGATGGTTCATGGGGCAATTCTGTTTAGCATTTTGAAGAACTGCTCAACTATTTCCCAAAGCAGCCACCCCATTTTACATCCCTACCAGCAATGTATGAGTACTGCTAGAATCAATTTTTTACCTCTTTGCCATCACTTGTTATTAACCTTTTTTGTAACAATTGGTTACAAAAATCCTACTGGTTCCTCTTTATTTTTCTTAAATGGAGTTTGCATTTTTTTTTTTTTTAAGTAGGCTTCATGCCCAGTGCAGTGCCCAATGTGGGGCCTGAACTCAAAACTCAGAGATCAAGGCCTGAGCTGAGATCAAGAATTGAATGCTTAACCAAATGAGCCACCCGGGTGCCACTGGAGTTTGTATTTTTGTTATGCCTTATGTTATTTTGGATGATTTTCCAGAGGACAAAGCAGAATTCTTTACTCCCTTAAAACCAGAAGCCCTATAGATCTTAAAATTTTTCAGTTGGGCTAATAATATGCTGTCAGTGGTAATGTCCTGCCTGGTTCTTCATCTGGAAATGTCTGTCACTTTACTATTGAAATTTCACTGAAAAAAATTCTATTCCTGGGATATGCACAAGTTCACAGAACATATTACATGCTGGAAAAAAGCACATTTTTGGTGCAATCAGTTGTATCATATCAAGTCCAATTAGCTACCTGGAAGCAGTTCTGGATTATGCTGTTAGCATCAGGCTAAAACACTGCAGTGATGATTTTAAATAAGTTAATCCGAAATACTGTATTTAAAAGAGCACTCTTTTCGGGACACCTGGTGGCTCAGTTGGTTAAGCATCTGACTCTTGGTTACAGCTCAAGTCATGATCTCATGGTTTTGTGGGTTCGAGCCCTGCATCGGGCTCTGCACTGGCAGCATGGAGTCTGCTTGGGATTCTCTCACCCTCTCTCTCTGCCCCTTCCCTGCTCACCATGTCTCTGTCTCTCTCAAATAAATGAATAAATTTTAAAAAATATTTTAAAAAGGAGCACTCTTGTAATACCCTATTACAAAAATGCATAACTGTGCATAGATTGACAGATTATTTAAAAACTTTCCCAAGCCCTGGGGCATCTGAATGGCTCAGTCGATTAAGCGTCCGATTCTTGATTTTGGCTCAGGTCATGATCTCACGGTGAGACTGAGCCCCACATTATTGGGGATTCTCTCTCCCCCTCTCTCTCTCCCTCCACTGCCTGTGCACGTGCACACACTCTCTCTCAAAATTAATAAACATTAAAAAAAGAAAAACTTTCCCAAGCTATAGGAATAACTAATAAAAAGTGTAATAAGAAAAAATCCTATTCCCAGTAGTGACAAAATAATGAAACACAAAGATCAGTTGAGCGGGTTAGTCTAGCTATGAACCAAGTACCTATGAATAGAAAACACAGTAAAAGATGTGTTTGAAATCAGTGAAGGGTAGATGGGAGTATTCCATAAATGATGTAGGAAAAACTGGCTCCTAACTTGGAAAAAATAAAGAGGGATATGTATCTTACAGTGGGGACCAAGATAAATTCCAGACAGAGAAGTAGATGGGAGTGGGGGAAACATGAAGACCTGTGTTCATCCTGTCTTAAGTTGAAAATATTAATTCCCATTTAGGAGGCTTTTCCACAAAGTACATACCTTGTGGTTGTAGATCTTACAGACTTTGGCCTTACGCTGGCTGTTTATCATATTTCTTTCTCTCTGCACGTAAGTCAGGAGTCTGCAGCGGTTTGGTAGCAAGCAAGCTCCTGTCTTACAGCCTACCTTTCGTACTGGACATATTTTCTTCCTTTTAAAAATTAACTGTAGTAAGGTATAATTTACATACAATAAGATGCACATTTAAATGTACCACTTCATGAGTTTTGACAAATGTCTCCCCTTATGTAATACCCACCCCCAACAGGACACTGAAATCGCCCCCAGATAATTCTCTCTTGCTTCTTTGCAGTCAGCCTCAATCCCCTATTCTCTGCTGTCACAGATCTAACATAACAGCTAAAACTGTAAAACTTACAGAATAAAACATGGGAGAAAAATTTCATGACCTTGACCTAGGCAAAGATTTCTTAGGCGAGAAACTAAAATCAGTAACCATCAGGGCACATGGGTGGCTCAGTCTGTTAAGCGTCCAACTCTTGGTTTCAGGTCAGGTCATGATCTCATGGTTCATGGGTTCGAGCCCTGCATTGCTCTGCTGGCAGTGTGGAGCTGGTTGGGGTCCTCTCTCTCTCCGCCCCTCCCCTACTCACCCTGTCTCTGTCTCTCTCAAAATAAATAATCTTTAAAATAAAATAAAAAAAAATAAAATCAGTAACCATAAAGGAAAAAAAGATAAGTATTTTCAAAATTAAAAACAAATGCTCTTGGCTTCCAATTTCTGGGCCAGCCCATGTTGGGTTTGGAAGTCATCACTCTGTCCTAACAAGAAAGAAGTTGAGGAAACTGAAAAATCAACTCTCTTTAGATACAGCAGAGAACTGAGGTCACAAACTGCTGCCCCCAAATTTAGAAAGTCAGACAGACACAGAGAATCATGTGATTGGAGTCAAAGCCCAAGAGCAGAAATCTCCATGGGAACCAGTAGTCCCATGGCAGGAAAACTTAAACTATAATTGAGGAATTATTGGAGGCTCAGTCTGGATATCTTTGAGAGTTAAAAAAACAAACAAACAAAAAAAGCAGGGGTGCCCATCTTGGGGATACCCCCACACTTGCCTGAGTTTTATCTCATCCCTGTATGGGGGACCCAGAAAGGTGAAGATTTTTATTTTTTAATTGTATTTTAAATAGTGGATAATTTGTAAGACCTAGAATTCAAAAAGTACAAAAGGTTATATAGTGTAAAGTTTCTTGCCTTCAGGCACTCCCCAGTTCTCTTCTCTGGAGACAAATCATATTATCAATTGTTTATTACATCCTTCTTGAGGTTTCTCTCTCTCTCTCTCTCTCTCTCTCTCTCTCTCTCTCTCTCACACACACACACACACACACACACACACACACACATTTTCTTCTTCCATTTTTTCCCTTCCATTTTTCACTGTGGTCTAATTTACCCCTTACCCTATTTGGAGGCAGAATTGACATCTTCATAATTCTGAATCTTCCTATCCAAAAGCATGGTACCTTTCCAAATTTTAAGTCTTTGTGTTCCTCAGTAATGCTTTAAAGCTCTAAAGTGTTCGTGGGTGGGCACCTGGCTGGTTCAGTCAATAGAGCTTCTGACTCCTGATCTCAGGGTCATGCATTCAAGCCCCACGTTGGGTGTAGAGAGTATATTTAAAAAAAAAAAAAAAAAAAAAAAAAAAAAAAAAGAACTTGAAAGTGGTCTTCATTTAACTCTCAATCACTTTGGAGGCTTATATCCCCATGTGCTATCTTTTTGTAGCTGTTGGGAATGATAAATCCCTTCCTTGGTCTGTCATATTATTAGACTCAGCTGCAGAGAACCAGTTTGGGCTGCCCTGAGACCCCCATGAGCAATGATTATTTCTGCTCATGTAATCATAAGCAATAAGAGTGATAATTTTATGACTTCAAATTCACTGATTTCTGCAGGGAGATAACTAACACTTACTGGGTACCTAATATAGGCCAGGCATTATGCTGGTATTTTAAATACATTTATAATATGTACATAACGCAGATGTTACTATCCTCACTTTACAGATCGGAAAAAAAAAAAAAAAAAAAAAAAAAAAAAAAA